AATATTCTGTCTCATACATCATACATTCACTTGATTTGTAGCTCGAGAAGGCCCGGGAGCAACCTAAAGTCCGTTCGATAGAGCAAAGGTTTGTGTAAATACTAGTGAGTTAAGTGTTTGTGCAAGGATTCAGTTGCAAGGGGTGGGAGGGAGAGGGGAGGAAGGGAGGGAGGGTAGGAGGGAAAAGGGGAGGGGAGGAGGAGGAAGGGAGGGAGGGTAGAAGGGAAGGGGGTGGGAGGGGAAGGGTGGAAGGGAGAGGGAAGGAGGAAAAGGGGAGGGGGAGGAGGAGGAGGAAGGGAGGGAGGGTAGGAGGGAAAGGGAGGGTGGGAGGGGAAAGGGTGGAAGGGAGAGGGAGGGAGGAAAGGGGAGAGAAAGGATGAGGGGAGGAGGAGGAAGAAAAGAGGGAGAGAGGAAAGGTGGAAAGAAGAGTGGGAAGAAAAGGGAGAGGAGGAAGAGGAGGAATGGAGGGAGGATAGGAAGAAAAGAGGGAGGGAGGGAAAGGGAGAAGAGGAAAAGGAAGAAGGGAGGGAGGGTGGAAAGAAGGGTGGGAGGGAAACGGAGGAACGGAGGATGGGAGGAAGAGGGAGAGGGCGAAGAGAGGGAAGAAAGGGAGGGTGGAAGGACGGGAGGGAAGGGTTAGAAAAAAGGGTTGGAGGGAAGGGGTAGGAGAGCAGAGGGAAAAAGGGAAAAGGAGAGTGAAATAGATGGGAGGGAAAGAGAGGTAAGAAAAGGAGGAAGGAGAGGGAGGAGAGGGAGGAAGGGTAGGTGGAGAAGGAGGGGGGAGGGAGGAGAGAGAGGAAGGGTAGGTGGAGAAGGAGGTAGGGAGGGAATGGGGGAGAAAAGGAGGAAGGGAAAAGGTTAAAGAGAGAAGAGAGAGAGAGAGAGAGAGAGAGAGAGAGAGAGAGAGAGAGAGAGAGAGAGAGAGAGAGAGAGAGAGAGAGAGAGAGAGAGAGAGAGAGAAAGAGAGAGAAAGAGAGAGAGAGAGAAGAGAGAGAGAGAGAGAGAGAGAGAGAGAGAGAGAGAGAGAGAGAGAGAGAGAGAGAGAGAGAGAGAGAGAGAGAGAGAGAGAGAGAGAGCGAAAGAGAAAGAGAGCGAGAGGGAGAGCGACACACACACAGATGATAAAATCAATGAATATGTAAATTACTATGAGAGATGAAAAATAGCTAAAAGAAAATAGATAATAGAAAAAAAAAAGAAAGAAAAGAAAAGAAAAGAAAAGAAAAATGTTAACAGAAAACAACAAATTGCTTAAAATGAATATCTCATTCTTTACATGCATTCATAATTACTCTGAAATTTGCTTAATTCGTCAGTAATTATTTGGACTCGAGGATGGGAAATGAGTTTTTCTTTCTCTTAATCATTACAATATACGGTGCAATTGAAGCCATGCAAGGAGACAAAGCAACACACATACGACGGAGATTAATGCGTCTGTTTGTTATCTGAATTTCGCATCTAAATTGTAATTTGCAATTTAGAGATATCCGGCTATAAACCGTGTGTATTAAAAGTCTATTGTTCTTGCTAATGCGATGTTTATACCTTCCCCTTGTATACCTGTTGTGAATATATGCGTTTATCTTCATTTCTGAATTTTTTATTTAGATTTGTTTATTCATAATTTTACTCCTTTTTGGCTTATGTTTTTTTTTTTTCTATCCTCTCTTCTTTCCTTTGCCTGCCTCCCTTCTCCTCCCCTCTCCACTCTCTCTACCTACCCTTCGCTCCTCCTTGAACTCTTCCCCTCCCCCCTCCTCACCGCGCTCTCTCTCTCCAGTCCCCCTTTCTCCCTTCCCCTTCCTCTCCCTACCTCCCTACCTATCCCTCTCCAATCCCCTTTCCTCTCCCCTTCTCCCTCTCCTATTCCTCTCCAATCCCCCTCCCTCTCCCCTTCTCCCTCTCCCTACCTCTCCTATTCCTCTCCAATCTCCCCTCCCTCTCCCCTCCCCCTTCCTTCCCTCTCTAATCCCCCTCCCTCTCCCCACATTCCTTCTCTCCTTCCCCCCCTCCTTCCCTCTCTACCCCCCCCCTCCCTCTCCCTACCTCCCCCCACTTCCCTCTCCCTTTCTCCCCACCTCCCCTCCCCCCCTCCCCTCCCCTCTCTCCTTCCACCAACAGAAGGTCCTATTTACTTACTTTTCGCCGACTCCAAACAAGTGGCGAAGGGTCATTAGCTTGCGGGATGGCGACGGTTTGGTTAATTAGCGCTAATGGAATCGCTGTATGAAGTCATTAACGAGCGGAGGGAAAAAAAAAGGAGGAAGTGTTGTATATGAAGATTTTTTATATATATATGTTTTTAATCTTTTTTATTTTATTTTATTTTTTATTTTTTAGGGGAGTGCGGAGGGGAGGGGGGAGGTTTTGAGTTTCTGTTGTTGTGATTTATGTTTTGTCTATTTTTGTTTTGTTTTGTTTCTTTGTTTCTTTTGTTGTTTTTGTTGTTTCCTGTGGATATGAGTCGTTATATTATATTAGTTATAATAATTTTTTT